TTGTGGACCTTTCTCTACACTTCATCTCTGTTCTCCCCCGCATATGCTGCGCTGCTCGCTGCCAGGCTGCTGGGCCGTAAGCAGCAGCCAGCAGCTGCAGCTTCATGTCTTCTATAGGAGTAAATAAACCGTGCCGTTTCCACTCCTATATAGATAAATATATAAATAAATATATAAATATATAAATATATAAATATATAAAAAAATAAATATGTAAATATATAAATGAATAAATATATAAATGAATAAATATATAAAGATATAAATATATAAATATATAAATATATATATTATGTAAATAGAGAGATTTGTTATTTATTTGGCGCAAAAATAAATACATTGGGTAATAAATAAATAAAAAAATAAAATATTTGTATTTGTTTATTTGTTTATTTATTTTTTATTTATTTTATATATAAAATATTTATTTGTTTTATAAATTAATAAATTATATATATAGTAAATATTAAATAATAATAAATAAATAAAAAATAAATAAATAATAAATAAAAAATAAATAATAAATAAACAAAAAATAAATAATAAATAAATAATAAATAAATAATAAACTAAAAATAATAAATAAATAAATAACGCACAAACGAAAACAAAAACAAAGAATGCAGCAAGCAATACGCAGATCCCTCTTACACTGCAACATACATTAGGGTTTAGGGTTTAGGGTTTAGGGTTTAGGGTTTAGGGTTTAGGGTTTAGACTTACAACCTGTAGATACTTGTATCTAGCTCTGCATTGGTTGTTGTTGCGGCCTGGTACTTTTGCTGCTACTTTTATCCATTTGCTGCTGCCGCGCGGTGTCTGCTGCACTGCAGCAGCAGCAGCAAGCAGCAGCTCATCTTCTTCTGCTGTCCACTCACGCCGCAGCAGCTGCTGCTGCTGCTGCTGCTGCAGCTGCACATACACCTGAAATATTACAAACGGCGGCATAGGAATATCACAGTATGCAGCCATAGACAGAAAGTCTACACCCCGTCCTGCTGCTGCTGCTGCTGCTGCTGCTGTTGCTGCTGCTGCTGCTCCGTTTGCTGCAGTCTCGCCATCCTGAACTGCTAGTGTTTGGCAGTTGCTGCTG